TTCCAATTGCCAGTTATTGAGCTTACTTCAGTAGCAAAGGTACAAATTGGACACTCATTCCTGAATGGAGGAAGTACTATTACTACTAGTCCTGTTGTTCTTCCCATCAGTACTCATAATACCTTCTCTAATGATGGCATGGATACCTAGTACGAATTAATTCTTCAGAGTACTAAAATGCATTAACCACAAAACCCATACCACACCATACAGGGCAAAAGACATTCTACTGAAACACCAATAATTATTACTAGTAAAATTGTGTTTAATTTTGAAGCCCGGTACTTAGTACTGGTTGATCCCACATAGTAGATCTACTAGTAGTAGTTTTTGGTCACTTCATCAACTGCAAACAGTGTAATGGGACATTTAGTAGAACTGCTCTGGTGGTATGACCTGAGAGCAGCTGTTCTTTGGGGAAAAGCTACCTAATAGTGTTTGGAACAGTGCCCTGTGTCAATCATGTTACACAATTATAGGCTTGGGGGGACAAGCTGGTGACAGCACATTAATAGTACTAGTCGTAGTAGTAGTAACACCACCAGCCAGTGTCGATGAATTTTTTCTGTTTTCAGAGACTGGCTGTGTTTTGAAGTAGACCAGAACTCTATTAAAAAACACCAGACTAAGCCCMCAATCCAAGATATAATTACTTAGAGATCCAGGTCATTAGGAGGCCAAAGGATGCTCTATTGTTTGCTTAGCCACTGGTCTGCCAAAGTTTCAGTAGTGTTAAAGCCAAAATCGCGTTAATTTTGGCTGTAATTTTACTCCGAATCAATCAACTCGTACGTACCCCCTCAACGGGGACAAGTACGCATTTACGYATTCTTGAACGGTACAAGTATTCCATTTAGCCGTTGAGGTTTTTGGTTTTTGACAGGGCCCAGAAAAATACCGTACGGTACGTACAGGAAGAAAATAGAAAATGGCTGTGGTACGAGTWCTCGTAGTACGTTCCGTACGTACCGTACCATGTTCGATTAATGTTTTCCACTTCAGCAGACGAATCTAAAAGCAACACGAAGTAAAACACACCGAGAAGAGTTGGGTCGTCATCAACCTGCGTTCAAGTACTCGAACTTCTTTCTAGTGCACGGTAGTATACCCAGGCACTAGGAAGCCAACAACAGCACACTCGATGGAGAGGGCCGTATCGCAACTTTGTCAACAACAAAGCCAGAGGTGCGATAATCATATCACAATAGGTACTTCAAGTTTCTTGTCAAAAGTCACGCTATCAATCCCAGGTATTGATGGCATCTGATATGAAACAGGTTTTTTGACTTGGGGTGKTTCACTAGCAGTATCGCTTTCTTCCCGAATCAGTTAGAATCCGAAGATGGGTGGAGGTGAAATATCGGCCTCGGGCTGGGCGAAAGGTATATTGCTATCGATTTTGGCCTCTGTAATTGGTGGAATATCCAAGCTTGCAATTCGTAAATCATGGCTGTTGCAAGCTGGAGGGGATCGCAATAGTGGGAACAAYGACAACCTCTTACCCGGTGAAATAMCAAATAACCACATCGCAGCAGAAAACACGACTGGTGGAAATGGAGACGAACAAATGTCAGGACAATATGAGCGACAAAGAAAGGAGTTGATTCCCTATGTTTTGAGATATTCAGGGATGTTTGGRATGTCTGTACTGAATCCAATCTGTTGTGTACTGGCAATGAATTTCGCTTCACCATCAATCCTTGCTCCTTTTTCAGGTCTAACATTAGTGTGGGTGATTCTAGGATCACCTTTTGTAAACAGCGAGAAACCATCGCGTCGACAGATTATGGCGTGTTGTCTGATCATACTCGGGGAAGTCGTTGTCGCCATGTTTGGAGATCACACCAATGATGAAGGTGTCACGGTRGAAGCTGTCGTAAGTTCTATCCAATCTTCATTGTTGTATTTTCGTGCGCGTTTTTTCCAAAGMATTCMGGTGCTCACGGACACCTTTTATCGTTTTATCTCTTGCTCATGGATTCGAAATGGGATTGGTTAGCGAAAGTCGTATAAAAAACCATCGTTCATTTCATATTTTGTGGGCCTGGCATTATACATCGCGTTGTTGATGTACTGGATTAATTTTTCGGAAAGTTTCATTTTTCGACGATTTGCTTGGGGATGCAGTGGTGGTGCAATCACCGGATGCCAAAACTTTCTCAAAGACAGCTTGACAATCATCAAAGCCACAGAACCAGATCAGAAATTACCATTGATATTTTAYCCTCTCAGYTTATTTGCAGCTGGCACTGCATTTGTTGGTTTGTTATTGCTGACAGCTTGCATGAAGCGATACGATGCTACCTACTCATCGGCATCTTTTGTGGGTAGTTTTGTGGTTTCCGCTAGTATTATGGCAGCAGTTCACTACAATACTTTTGAACAACTAGACGGAGTTATAAACTACATCCTTTATCCTTTTGGAATATTGATTCTTATGGTGGGTGTCTACGCGCTGGTCAAGGAGAGCGGCGAGTCGGATGGATACGACGACATTCCAGAACAGCAGAGGGGATTGGATRCTGACCAGGTCGGTTTTAATGATTCGGAGGCAAGTATGTTCACCAAAACCGTAGAGTCTGTATTTTTGTTCCGAAGCGTCTTTTCACAAGTAATGAATCTCCAGTAGTGGCAATTGGATCGGAGCATTAAATGTTATATACTAACAAAATCAATTTGGTTTTCAATTCTGAAAAAGGATATCTTTGTTTATACCGAAGTGTCGGAACTGGGAAGAGAGGAAACTTTGTCACGAAATGTTTGTAGTGAGGACGGCTGAAATTCCCCACGGATAATTTGTTTTGCGCAGTCTTTACAAAACGTTCTGATTTTTAAGGTATTTGTGAATCAACAAACGAAATACGAAGTAACACTTTGACAGCATGCAGTAAACAAATGAAATCAAAATCTAAAAAACATGTCGTGAGATATTCTTCGGCAGATCCTCAAGATACCATAGTGATCTTCAAATGTAAAAGATATCAATCCAAMCACTACAGAGGGCAAAACAAGAAGTAGATTGATTCTTCATTTTTAACAGGAAGCYCAACCAATCCTATCTTGGCTTCGACAAGCTGATTTGTAGTGTCTTAGTGCATAGTAGTCACGAGTAGGAGAAACTGCTTATCACTAGTATGAGGGAGATGTTTGAAATTGACACACTTCTGACAATCTATCTTATGTTTTGTTGCTKAGATAGACATAAATAATTTTGTACCTATTGAATTTGGTATTTACTTTTATTTTCTCAGTAGTAGTAAATTCAAGTGAAAAACAGATCTGCAAGCTCAACTATCATGTGTTGAGAACTACCGTTACTAATAGTAGTAGAACTGATCTACTGAAGTCAATAATTTTGTCAGAAAAAGACTTCTTGAAATAATATAGTATTATCTTAGTACTTCTACTGGTAGTTTTGAACATGCATCTTGGATAGTACTGTACTWAATATTCTTTGAAGATAAATATTTTTCTAGCTAATGCTATGTGTGTTTTTAGAAATGCCAGAATGACTGAAATCTTTGATCTATGACCAAAGATTTTCTAAAAMTAAATTTAAAGAAGAACACAAGGAAGTACTACAGTTTTTGTAACTATTGAAACCAGTATTGCCCAGTGCAAAAATAGTTTTTACTRAGACTCAAAGCATCAAAACAAGGTTAACAACTTCAATATAAATTAAATAACTTCGATTCAATGTTGTCAACTACTGTGCTAGGTAGGCCTACAAAGGATTTAAGGGGCACACTGGAGGGCCAGCAGCTGTTCAGTAGTGRGGAATACAAGAACCAAGATTGGGTCTGTTTAGAGGATCCCTTGTAGGATCCAGTACTAGAATGATGTCCAAAGAAAATTGCCAATCAAGGGAGTAGACTGSAAATTTTGGTCAAAATTGATTGGTTTTGATTGTCTGTTCAAAATCCTACTGGTGCCTACTACTAAGAATACACAAAACAATGACCTCTGAAACGCTGATTCTCAGCAGCCTGTTCTTTTTGTTTTATTAAAAAAAACTTGGTTCAAAGAAATTGGCCATGGGAATAGAGAAACTCACTCTTTCATACTATAAGTAGTATCAATTGATAGCTCATTTCCATTGCCAATTTAAGGTGCCTTGAACTGTAGTGAAGGGCCTAATAGAAGATATATTCTGGTATCTTCAGTGGTTGACTCTTTTGTGCTTCTTGTTTCTAGTTGACAGCAAACAGTATGAGCAATTATAGTAGACCCCCCCCCTTCAGGGGCCCCTGTCCCCAGTCTGTCACTCACACAAGACAATCCACCACTCTATTAAGTAGCCTATGCTGCTCTGGAGAGGAAGAAGTTCCTTCCACTTGCAAAGAAGAAGATCATCTTTGTATCATCCAAACCATGAAGGGAAGGTATGTTGAATCCCTCTTCCATGGCAATGACGCCAAGGCCCTGAGACAAGAAGTGTGTCTGCTCTGTGCTGATGTGGTCTCTAATGGCCTAGGAAAAAGCAAGAGAGAGAAGGCCTGAAGAACTCAATATGCATCTTCCATGCTTGCTGTGCTTTATGTTGCAATGTAGATGGGCAGGGAAGGGAAGGGATTTGTCTACTGCTGGTGAAAACAATCAACTCTCCAGCAGATCCAGGAGCAGCAATGATACAAGTGCTCTACCTCTCTCTTCCAATCAATTGCCAAGGCTGTCAAGCACGTTSTTGACAAATAGGAGGAAGAAGCAATCCAAAAGCAGAACAAGSGCTCATGCCTCAAGCAACAGAAGAATGGGGACAGGAAGCAGGACTAGGTCCCCATCAACCCATCCAAGCTGGAGAAGGCTCCTTGTCCTGACTGTAGCTGTATGTCATACATGACAAACACCCCAATCAATGAACTCAACCAAAAGAACCAAGAGAACTGGGACAAACACAAGCAAGAGGTAGAGGAATACAAGCGTGCTGGGGAGGGGAAGAAGAAAAAGGTACCTACTATCAGTAGAGCAATCAATTGATTTCTGGGCATACAGGCTCAATTGTGACTTTCAACTGGATCAAGGGAACTGTCTAGAGTGTAGCAAGTCTGGGGCAGATTACTTCAAGTGAGACTTGGATGGAAAGCCAACTTGCTCTTGTTCTACCTGCAATAGCACCTGTGGCACTATGTACCTTAGGAGAACAGATACAAAGCTACTACTAGTGAGGCYGGGGAAAGTRGGAGACTGCTGCTGAGCCATCAGCTGCTGGTGAGACTGCCACCTAGCCACGAGCAAGTATATTGCTGTMKTTTTGGAGAACAGCTTGGTCAATCCATTCAATAGACTGTAATTCAATCTATCTACTTGATTCAYTTTCTAAATTGATTGAGTGTCCAGCAACAAGCTTCCAGKCTCCAGAGGACTGGAATCGAAGCTTTCCCAGTGGGATTCAATTTTGGTAGGYCCAGGAGGAGTCAATTTGCCATCAAGCCAGGCCCTGGRGGATTGCTCAGGTGGTCCATTACAGCTACTCTCTGAATTGGCTGCACTTGCTGGAGACCAGTAAGGTGCTGTTGTTATCACTTGCTAGTATTGTCTAGGTTGATAGACTCCATTGACAGTGTATCTAAAATGGTCAATGGTTAAATCAAAGGGAGTGAGTGATTGTAAGGCCCTGCTTCTAATGACATGCTCAAGGTTTGCGGTTGTCCAGTTAGGCCTTGCCATCTTGCTCACAGTCCTGATTTGATCACAGATTTTATACTCCTTGGGACCATACTTTGGCTGGTAAGGAGGCCTTGGAACAGAGCTGGACTGAGTCACTCCTCCATCTGCTTTCACCTTGACTGTTTGAGCTACTTTATTGGTCAGATGAGCTCTAAAATTGTTCCAAAGAACACTTTATCAGCATCCATATCCCCTGGGGCTAGGCATTGCTCAATATTGCTGCAGATGTGGTCAATGAACTGAGCAAAGGTCCAAGCTGAGGTCCTCCAGGTCTGATCACCTCAATCCATCTCCTTGGATTTTGAATACTTCCTCCATTCTCTGGAGGCAGTTGTGGATCACCTGACTCCACAGCAAAAAGGACAGTTAGCTTGTTGGTCCTCTCATAGTGTTCTATCTTTCTAACTCTTTGGCATATGAAAGCCCATTCATGTTTGCTGTTTGTCCTTCACATCGATGAACTTCCTCTTTGGGATACCAACTACTCCAAGGGGAGGAGGAAGAGTCCAAAAGCACTCAAATCTTCTCCTGTTCCTTAAAGTGAAGGCTTGGTAGTCCTCAGCTGATGCCCTCTTCCTGATCATCTTTGTTCCCCTCAGTCTCCTGGAGATATCTACCCTTAGATAGACCACCCCCCCTGATTATTGTAGAACTGTGGCAATAAAAAAATAGCCCATTTAGTGGTACATTTTTAATGCTCAACTTACATACACATTGGTCATTACACAGTAAAAAGATGGTCCAAAATATCGTATAGAGTTGGCTACAAAATCAACAATACAGTCGTACAGTTTGGGCCCTTATTTTGTGTGTAATGACTACTTTGAAAAAAAAAATTAAATACATACACAATGCTCGTACTCAGTTACCAGTACTTGAATTTTTGAATCCCACCAGTCGTGCGACCAAGGCGTTTGAGCTCTTCTGTGTTGTGTCAATATTGTATTGAGTTGGCATTCAAGTCTACAATCCAGTCATACATTATTTTCTTATCTTGTGTATAATGACTACTTTGACTAAATAAACTTGCTTTTGTACTACTGGTACAGTAAGAGCACTTGCATGCAAAACTAGAGTACCCACATGCAAAACTATTTGGTCACAAGACTGGTTGGAATGAAATTTGATCACATGTCCTGCTGTACCCGTGGTACAAGGAAAATTTTTAATCCCATGAGTCATTACATGATAAAACAATGGCCCATTATCTTTGTATTGTGTTATTTAGTAATTGTATAAGTGTTTCAGTTTGAGCTGTATCTAGGTCCCCAAATGAAGCTTAAGTATGACATGCACATGAATCAAAAACAAATTCAAACAGCAGGATTCTACTCATATGGGGGAGTTGGGGGGTATTATTAGTGGAAGATAAAGATGTACATGTCCAAATATCAAATTCATTGTGTGTTTGTTAAGTGCCACAGCTATACAATAGAGAGACCAGCATTGGTGCCAGTTCTGATCCTTGCTACTATCTTGTCTGCTGGGTCATTGCTGCTGGTGTTGCTAGTAGTCGTTGCTGACTGTAGAAGAAGCAGTCAACAATGAAGAAGCTGGCACTTATCACACTAGATTAGACTGGGTCCTTTTATAGTTCAAGGCACCAATCAACAATCAAAGAGAGCTATCAATTTATACTACTTACAGTACTAAAGAGTGCATTAAAGTGCTTCAAATAGAGCAATTCCCATGGATGGGTTGTTTTGAGCCAAGTTTTTTGATAGAATGAAAAACAAGAGTTTAGAATAGCATGCTGGAGGGAGTTTTGGATTGGCTCGCTCATTATCTCCCAGCAGGATTTTGAACGCGTATTAAAAACATTGATTTCAATTTTTCTACTGGGTTTCTATACAGATTTTGTAGAACTATCCTATTGTATACTAGTGTGGGGCAAGCAAAAAAAGACGCACCAGCCATACATTAGGAATGCTCAATATACATACATGTATATCAATCAATATTTATTGGATGCCGTACTCCCCCACCACATTCGAAAGCTCTTTGAATTCTCTTTTTAACCACGTGCTTTCCATACTTAAGCGTCTGTTGGAGAAAAAAGTTCTAGCTGTTCAAATGAGTTGAACCTCTCTTAATACCATACATGTTTTTTGTACTGTGCATCCATTTTGGGCCATCTAATTACTGTGTAATGACTCGACGGATTAAAAAATTCACTTTGTACTACCAGTACAGTAATTACACGTGTTGAAGCAAAAATAAGACAGTGAGGAGCACGTGTGCACGAAACTATTTGGTCACACAAATGTGGGATTCAAAAATTCAACACTGCTGAGCACATACCACCAGTAGTACATACGGTACAAGTACTGAGCAAGTGCAAAAAGATAGCCCGTAATCTACGACTGGGACCATACATTAGCTGGCCAACTCTATACGATAGAGTTGGCAACAAAATGTACACACTAGTTGTATGTTTTGGGCCATCTAATTACTGTGTAATGACT